GCGATGAAGGTCAAACCTACCCAGCCACTTGTAAACTTTACATCGCAAATAAACCAAATGTCCAGGTGTGCTCATGTCCTGCGATTCAGAACAAGGCAACAAGACGTCTGGTGACATGTTGGGGCCCTTTGACACTGTACACAAGCAGGTTTGCGTATACTTAATCTGACTGAAATATTGCACTCGACTTTGAGACGGTTTCGCAGACAAATACGACTTGTTAACTCTGCACGCAGATCACGTGGGAAAGTTTCCGCGGTGAACTGTCTGCTGCACAACCTGTACTTGTCCGCTCGTCAGCGCGGTGACTAGTGAGCAGGAAGGGCAGCTTCACATCCCAATTCTCCCGAACTCTCGACAACGTGGCGACTGGCGGTACTTTCACAAAGTTCACCATTTTGGGCCAAATTGTACCGTCAACTCATTTATTTTGGCGCCGAGATTTAATAACCGGTTTGAAAAACTGGGGACCGCAGTTCCCCTTTAGTTACAAAACAATTTAGACTTCTCTGGTGAGCCAGTTTCAGAAAAATCTCAAACTTGATCGCTGGCGGTATGATCTGGCCTATGCTGTCTTTTGAATGCAGAAACACATTCTCTTGCCACGTGTAAGACGTGAGGAAGAGACCGAATATTTCCCGGGCAGACTCATTCGCTCACACTGAGCCACGGAGTCGGTACCTTCAGAGTGTGCTGGAGCCGCAGGCCGGCGGGAGACGTCTGGGGGCTCCTGGGGCAGGCTGCGGCGCCCCGCGCGCCCCGCGGCCGTTCTGTGACCGGATCCGCCCCGAGACGAGGCTCTGGCGGGGTCCCCGCCGAGCTGTGACTCGGGCCCGGCGGCGGGGACCCCGAGGGACTGCCCCACAGGGAGTCGTTCAAGTAGCCCTCCAGGCTGAGCTGGGGAGACTCCTCTCCCCGAGGGGCCGGCGGCTGTGGGGGCCGAGCGTTCAGAGAGGCCGGCGAGGGGCTCTCCGCGGGGCGGGTGGGCCGCGGGTGGCGGTGTGTGCCGGGACTCCGAGGGGGGGAGAGCTGCTGGTGGCCGGGGGCTGCAGGGGGGTCGCACGGGGGGTGGAGAAAGCCATCCGGCTCCCCGCTGGCAGGGCGCTCGTTCCGACTGGGCAGTGCTAGCGTGGACCCACAGCTCGGGAGGAACGAGGACGGAGAAGATCCGGAGATCCACGCAGGCCGGGGCCTGGGAACGACGTCGACCCCGTCTCCTCCGTCACCCGCCCCCTGCGAGAGATGCCCGGCGTCGGCGCTGGGAATCTCCGCGGGGCAGGGAAGGACCAGTTGTGCACAAGGCGGTCCCAAGGGGAGGGGTGA